ACAAATGCACGAGAAAACGTCGAGAAATCTGGACAAGAGGTCCGGACCGTTCGGTCTAGGAGTGGACCGAACGGACCGGAGCATCTAGTCCGAACGGACCAAATTGTTGGACCGAACGGACTAGAGAGTTCAGTCCGAACGGACCAAGTGTTGGACCGAACGGACTGAACCGTCGGACCGAACGGACCAAGTTGTAAGACTGGTTCGAACGGACCAAGTGGCCAGACCGAATGGACTACTAAGCAGTCCGTTCGGTCTGGGTTTCAGATTTAATTTTAAAGTCCGGATCTAGGGTTAATCACTTGAATAAGAGGAGAAAAATAACCTTAACACTAAGGAGCAAAAAAATAGAACTTCTTCAGACCTTTTTGGAGAGTCTAGAGGGTTGAAAAAGTGATCAAAATCTCGTTTTCTCAAAGCACATCATCGAATAGAAGATTCGAGTCCTAGCAGACAAGTTCCAAAGGTTGGAATCCATCCCGAGGTGTGGATACGTGTAGAGGGCAAGGTATTCTTCCTGTCTACAGTGATCGGACGAACACATCAATTGATGCAGGCCCCGGATCGATTAAGGTAAGCGTTCTAACGTTTCTACAAGATCATGCATGATAGGTTTTAGGGTCAATCGAGCTCCACTCCCGATCCTCGATTAGATCTTATACTGCAGAAGCTAGAGAGCTTCGATACTCGACTCTCTGCAGTTGAGGCGCTCGGCACCCGACTCACCTCTCTCGAGGAGTCCATAGAGGACCAGATGGGCACCCTCGAAGCCACACTCACCGCATCCATCGAGAGTTCCCAGCGCGAGATCATACGGACCGTGGAGCGGATCATAGATGGCGAAGATTCTGACGCCGGAGGATCAGCTCAGGGGAGTGAGACCAAGGGCTCTTCCGCATCCGGGGCCAACAAGGGGAGCAAGAGGACAACCCCTTGATTCGATCACCTCTAGGATAGAATGCTTTATATTCCCTGTGGAACTATGTTTTGGTGTGTTTAGAATTCTTAACTTATGTTCCCTCTTTTGGATCTTTGGGCGCTTATATATGTTGTTTCGACGTGTTTAAAAGTTGTCAATATTATCGGAAGTCGTTTTATGCAGCGTTTTCTCAAACTTGGCCCGAAAAATTTTCTCACAGACAAAATGGGCGGACAGCCCGTTTTATCGAGCGGTCGCCCTTGTGCAAAGATTGAGAAGCGAGCGGTCGCCAGTAAAAACAGGCGAACCGCCCGCCCACACGAACTTCAGTTTTCGAGCGACTGCTTGAGCGGTCGCCTAAAATCAATTTCATCGACTTATCAAAACGAGCGGTCGCTCGCCTTTTCAGGCGGCCCGCCCATTTTCATTGACAAATTTTCGACGTTTTTTAGTTGTTCCAGATGGATTCCAGCAACCGTTGGAGGAGGGCACGGAAATACATTTCAGACACAATACCGGAGTTACAATATTTCAAGCCACAAAATGTCCACTTTTCAAGTCTTGTGGATGAAATCCGTATTGATGCCGAACAAGAACATGCGGATCCAATCCCGTTTCAACCCCAATCCAACAAGGAGACAATCCTTCTACACCAAATCCATCAGAGGAGGATTAAGGCTTCAAAATTCGTATACCATGGCATTCGACCAAAGCAACTCTATGAGAGGATCGAGGGTATATTCCAACTCGTCGGATGGGAACGTCTATTCCGCGCCAACCCCCGCACATCCCATTCATTGACAACGGAATTCGCGTGCACTTTCCAATGTTTCATCCCAAGGAATGTCGATCCTCGTAGTAGCTACATCGGATTCCGTTTAGAAGGGCACCAATATTACGTGCACTTTCCAATGCTTCATCCCAAGGAATGCCGATCCTCGCAGAAGCTACATCGGATTCCGTTTAGAAGGGCACCAATATTATCTCAAGATGGAGCAACTCGCTCAAATTTTGGGTGTTCAAGCGGGCAGCACGGTAACAATCCCGAAGATAACAATCGCCAAGGCTAGAAACTTCTGGACACAAATAGCGGCCGCACCCTTCACTCCTTGGGAACTCGAAGCCTTCATGATACGACATCCCGCAGTCTGCTACCTTCAGCAATTCATGGCATCCACCCTATTTACACGCGAGGATACACAAACCGTCTCCATCACATAACTAAACATGCTCATGGCACCTCTCCACTTCATGATGAACAACTGTCTAGAGGTTGCGGACGTCGCGTCAAGGGTAGCACTGCATATGCACAAGGTAATCACTTCCACCACTGAGTCAATTTGCTTTGGAGGAATCGTAACCATGATTGCAGAGCGATTGGGCATCGATCTTAGAGCATATGCGCATGATTTCATCCACGGAGACAAGATCAACTATATGCATCTTTTGGAGAACAATTTTGTCAAAGAACAAAACGGGGACATATTATGGAGGTTCGTGGACGTCGAGAGTAGGTATCGATCATTCAACATGGCCTATTTTGTGCTACCTCCTCTGACCGAAGAAGGAATCCGTTTTGAGGTCTCATCGGAGCTCGGCACAGACTCCGGACAAGAGTCCTCTGTTGGTTTAGTGCTCTATGATGTACTGATTATGAGCTTTGTTCAGATACATTCGATGTATTGATACTTTCTATATGTTTTTTTATGAGAGTATCTTGTTCATTACATGTTCCTGCATGCTAGATCTGTTATGAAATCCATGTATCATTATGAATGATACTAAACTCCCTAGTCTTGTGTCATTATGGGAATAACGACATAATAAGACTAGTATGATGTGTGATTGATGATCACATAGATGATCATAGGTATTGGATACGATCACAATCATAGGTATTCGTTGCAGAACGGAATACTGGACTGACCCGCATGAGATTGTCACATGGACTAGAGTCATGACTTGAATCTCATACGACGATTCCATGATTAGATCCTAAGACCTGAGATATCTACAGAATCCAACATGAGAAGTTGCGTGCTTTGATTACGTCAAACGTCCTGCGTAACAGGAGGACTATAAAGGCGTGTATCAGGTACGAAACGAATCATGTACTGGATTGTAGATAGTCAAGACGGGATTTGTACCTCTCGTAAAAGAGAGAGATATCGCTGGGCCCCTCGTGTGAGCAAGACTGTAGAAATGTGTGGCCGCACTATAGACGAACGTCGTCTATTTCAGACAGTCGAACTCAGTGAACGAGAAAGCAGTCGAATCAGATAAGGTGGCTTGTCCATGCCTTATGTTCGACATATGATATCGCGATACAAAAGGATCATCAGTCGGAATCATCACTGGCTTTCGTATGATCACAAACAAACTCTATTCGAGATAGGTAGTCATAGTGTCTTGCTAGAGACCGCCTATGACTTGTATTACCGGAATGGAGATTCTGCGTTTTACTACTATTCCGGATGAGCCTACAGGGTCACACACAATAGGGATGGACAAGTACGTGTGCTAAATTATCCCGATTAGGAATCCTAATTGGATTGAGATTCCTAATTGGAATAGGAATCCTAATGGGATTAGGAATCCTATTATGTATAGGAATCCTAATGAGATTAGAATTCTATTACATCTAGGAAACCTAATGAGATTAGAATTCTAATAGGTTTAGGAAACCTAATTAGATTAGGATTCCTAGTAATCTATTCCTTGTCAAATTAGAATTTTTGGAAAGTCTATATAAGGAGAATGTCTTCTAGGGTTTGAAAAGAAAAAAGAAGAAAAAGGAAAAAGAAGAAAAAAAA